GTCCCACCAGCTTTTTGCGAGGGTGTTTGATTCCTTGCTTGCGCGACTTTCGAGGTATCTAGGCGAGCCAGGGGGGTCCACAAAGTCTGACTTTGAAGATATTCCCGCTTGTAGTCTTCCATCATCTTCTTCTCCACCCACTCAGGATCGTGTCTGGTTCGGTATTTCGAGTACGGGTTGCGAAGCTCATTGATGACCGATGCGGGGAAAGGCGCGAATTGAAGCGATGGCAGCCAAGTTGGCGTCTCAACTTCCATACGGAGGGTATCCCACTCTTCGTCCTTCGGCGCTGGGGGCTCGGCCTTGGGCCAGGGGATCTCAATGTCTTCACCGGCGATATATCTGGTGTGTTTAGGGGTCTCGACTCCGTAGCCACGTTCGAGGATGGGCCCTCCGCCATAAACATGCTCCACCAGTACATCTCGCGTTTGACCGGTAATGGGGTCATCGAGAGCGACCACAAGGCGGACATCGTCCAAGGACAAGGGAATGCTGACAGACTGGAAGGGGGATTTTTCTCCATACTGGTCGGTCATCCACTCGGGAAAGTAGATATCGGCCTGTTTTGAGGTTGGGGCAGCAGTCAGTTGAGTGAGACAATCCGCGATCGAGCAGGAGCAAACAGTACCATGTTGAGGTCCTTCACCAACACCGTCTCGTTGCTGGCATCCACCTTGATGACCTCGTTGATCTTGCCCTTATCCTTGCCCTTCATAACACACACCCGATCTCCCGCCGCAATGTTAATGTATTTCCTCCGAAGATGCTTAGGAACGGTCGGAGGGTTCAATGCTTGCGGAGTCAGGGCACCGAACTTGCTTCCTGAGAGAGCGGCATCACGCTGGGGGGCTAGAGGACCACGCATCCAATCTTCACGGCGACGGAGCCTTTCCTCGCGGAGGTTGTCGAGCTCCATGCGCTTGTAGGCGAAACGCTGGCGGAGAGTGTCCTTGTATTCTTCGCGTTCAGCAACTTTGGCCGCCCGGATGGCCTTACGCGTGGCCTGATTCCGGGCTTGCGCCGTTCTCTGAATGACTTTTTGCATGGTGATCTGTTTGCGATGCCAACAACGGCCGTCCTTTCCCACGGAATCGCGGCCAGATTGAATGTCGGGGAAGGGAAAATTGCGGTCCTGTTGCAGTCACGTGTCTACCCGGGGATTACCACCAATCAGATTCGATAGCATCCATTTCAGTCGGGATCGGTCTGGGCATTCAAGTTAACTACCACGTCAGTGTAGCTACCTAGTATACTTCTGTGAGTACGTCATGTAGAGCTACCATTCCATAAATAAGACAAGTGGTTACATCGGATGTTGCCAATCCTTAGACTGATCTCTCATGGATTTTTCCAAGCTATGGTGATTGGGGTTTTCGAAGTCAGGAAGCCACTGGGCATGTCAATCATGTGTACTTCTAAGCTGATGGAGAGAGAACACCGTACTATATGTATCAACATTCAACCTCAAGATGGGAAGTTAGGCAGTTCAATAGTTATCTAGATGCGCGGGTGCCCGTGGGAAAGATATATGATACTAACTAGATCTGGGAAGGGTCTACTTAGCTAACAGCATAGGAGTTCGGTTCAACTAACGGGTCGGCTCTTGCGATAGCATAGAGGAGGGTTGAACAGGATCCAGTTCCTTAAGAGTAGTTGTCACTCGATAGTGGTCAAGCCATACAGTGTATACGGATAGCGTATCCGTCACAGGTCCAAGGCAGATAGATGCGAGGGAATCTGAGGAAAGCAATTTCATCTTATTCGCCGTCCATCTGACAGGTGATACCTACATAGTAGGTACGAGCTCGCATGGCTTGTTATGGCTCGATCGGCAGGCTTGTCCGTGTAAACCACGCTGGATAGTGGCAACCGTAGGAAGACAGTCGACAACACATCAGAATGCGAGATTTGCTTACCATAGAGGCTGTCAAATATAGACCCGATCATCATCCCCAGCAGTGATCTAGCCTCTTTCTTTTCCAGCTGCAGCTGTGATCGATGTATAGAGTTCGCGAGGGTCGCCTCCGCCTCAACCAAACGTCATGGTCCAAGCAGCTTCACCGAATGTTAGTCAATTCAGTAAGCATGGGGCGGTCCAATTAACAAGCACTCAGCTTAGAACTGGCACAGCATTAGCGCAACAGCCCTGCAATTCTGATTGGAAACGAGCGACTCGGTGACGATCTGAACAGAGAATACGATCACGGTGTGCATATGTACGATTGCTAATCCGTACAACGAGTACCTACTGCAAGGCTGCTGCCGCCGGGTTATCTGTGGCTGAAAGATGGCAAGGCTATACCCGGGTATTATAGCTTCGTAGTCGACAATTGTAATGTACTGTATGCATGCATGGACATGCAGTAAGAATTACAGTACTCTCTACCTACTTACAACGTCAACAATGCGAATTGAGTCGACCGCCATAACCATGAAAGGATGCCTGCAGTGCGTTGGTTCATACTGAAAGCTGCATAGGAATAAGGAGCCCGTCACAAAAATGAGAATATGCTTCATGGGGTCGCACTTGCTAGGGTGGTTTTCCGGTCCCATTTGATGACGTTGACCAGGGAGGAGAGTACGTACTGTGCCTACTCATGTAATCGCAGCATGCTCAGGGGGGCATTGAAGATCACTTGCACCGCCACGTATCTCTAGCTCGGGAGTCGGTAAATGCGAGCGGAACGCGAATCTGCCAGGGTATTCGACTTTCGGTAATTCATACTGAGCAGGCAAAGATACATACACTCACCATGCCTCTCAAGTGAGGACACACACACAGTTAGAAGAAAGTCGATGATCACTGCTAAAAGCCGACAGAGTTTCTGGTTGACAACATACTCATGTCTATCACTCTCCTGGTGCATGTACAACGGGTGAATACTAGAGGTTGGTTGGACTGGACGTTGATGCAGAAGAGGCTGTCTAGCTGTGCTCGAGCTTGGGCACCAGCTATCTAGGGTTCCCCGCCAGTGTGCCGACTGGCGTCTAGGCCTCTCTGTAGATAGCCTGGAGGACAGCGACGGTAACTAAAGATGGATACTGTGAAAGTTCATTGGCGCAGAAACACTAGTGATAGTTTTCAAAAATGTACCGAGTGATGGAAGCTGAGCTTTCTTGAAAACTTCTTTTCTGGGTCTCGAACTGCCTCTCAGGAACTTTGCCCTTATCTAGAGACCTACTTCTCAACCTCCATACATATTTCTTCCAAACAGGCGACAGATGGCGAAGATGACGACATACAGCTTAGTCAAGTTGTAGCCGGAGCGGAACGGGGGGAATGTATTCCTAGGTAAGATTGAGCCATAGAAAGAAAGGACCAGCTAATAAAAGCAGGAAAAATCTCGCTGGATTGGTCGACAATAATAACTACTACCCAGTACTTACCGACTATAAGTTTTAACTTACATCGTCTTGGCTGACCACAGACAGGAATTTTACCTAGTACCAGTTTGATTGAGTTAAGTCCGGTATCATACCATACCATACCGGGAAGTCAATTGTACAGTACCATTGGCTCCCGGCTCCCGTCTTCAGCCACGGTGGCTTTTAATCGGAATGAAGGCAGCAGCTTAGGCAGCTAAGTAAGCAAAAATGACCGGACAACATAACTAGTTAAACAAGTTTAGTGGATGCGAAAATAGGCGACTAGATCAAGAAAGACCGGGGATCATGGAAAAGGAGTACTGTTTTTGGAGGAGTAGCCTATCGACCGTATTCTTCCATCAGTTCTTAGGACCGTAACGTGGCTCTTTCCCGTATACAGCCAGCCGCCTTAGTGATACGGAAAGGCAGAAAACTCATCAAGAAAAAGAACAAAAAAACAATTATTAACAAAAGAGGTTGCAGCCGACAAACCGGACAATCACAAGCATCCCGTTGGTTACAATGCTAGTAATGACAAGAAGAAGAGGAGCAGCAAGAGGAAGAGGAGGAGGAGGAGGAGGAGGAGAAGAAGAGCAAGGACGAGGAAGATGATAACAATGAAAGGCAACAAATAGAGAAGGGGAAAAGGGAAAGTATAAACAGTTTGTCACAAGCCACATTCATAGCATTTTAACCACTGGATTGGGGAAGGATCGTTTCAGCTTGTTTTAGTATTGGGGATACTGAAATGATTAGACAAGGGGGAGAGAGCCTCAAGGAACAGACTTGAAAGAGCCAGGAGGAATATACAGAAGATAGGTAGAGTGCCAACCCGCCGATGGATGGCCATAACTGGCCCAAAACTGGTCCTAAACAAATGTAGCAAGCAATGGGCAGGCAGCAGTGTTGGTGGTGGTGATTGTGATTGTAGTAGTATTCCAGGAGCAGTATAAGCAGTACTAGGTAGGAGCAGCAACAGAGCAGTACTTCGTACTGTAGGAGCATTGCTTACAGGCACTCACTACGACCACCACCAACACCACCAACACCACTCATTGTCTGGTCATTCATCCTCTTGTCTATCAACCCATCCATTCTTCTTCCGCTTTCCTCCTCTCTTTCTCTTCTTCTTTCATCACCTCTCCAACGTGATAACCTCTCTTTTCTCAAGGGACTCTTCTACTGCCGTAAATCCTCTGCTAAACTCATCGTTTGGGTTTATTCTTTTGATTCTAGACTCTTTTGTTTTCTCTACAGCCCTCCTGAACCCCCCCACCCCCTACTTTCCCTCCCATATTTTAATCCGCGCCCGTTGCGCCTACTCCCGTGCACCGTACGTGATAACCCTTTTCCTCGGGCGCCTGACTTGTCTGTCCCTTTCTCTCACTCACTCACTCACTCACTCACTCACTTACTTACTCACCCTCTCTCTCTCTTCCTCTACCTTGAACCTCCACCTCCCTCTACCTGCTACACTCCTCCCTTCCCCTCTCTCAAATCCAAATTCCATCAACTACTTACCTTTCTTTTTCTTTCCTCTTCCATTACGCATACTTTTTTCTCTCGTTGTCGCATATCGCTAAATCAACCTATTTTCTGCTCTTCCGTTCGCTGATCTTCATCCCTCCATAAAGATGGCTGAGATCCGCCGCAAGCTTGTCATCGTTGGTGATGGTGCCTGTGGTAAGACTTGTCTGTTGATGTAAGTTCTTCATCTTTGGTCACTTTCCCCCCGTCCAAGGGGCCAAATGGCACACACTGACTCTACATCTTTTCTCCTTTTAGTGTCTTCTCCAAGGGCACTTTCCCCGAGGTTAGCCTCCGTCTCCTATCCTTGCCTGGGTCTTCACGCTGTTGTCTCCTGTCCTACTCACGCTCGATGCGAAATCACCATGCAACTGCTCATCCAACCTTTCGTTCCTATTGGACTGACTGAAAACGCTGCCCTAGGTCTATGTCCCCACTGTCTTCGAGAACTATGTTGCCGATGTTGAGGTCGATGGCAAGCACGTTGAGCTCGCTCTTTGGGATACTGCTGGTCAGGAAGATTACGATCGCCTTCGCCCTCTCTCATACCCCGACTCTCACGTTATCCTGATTTGCTTTGCTGTCGATTCCCCTGACTCGTTGGACAACGTTCAGGAGAAGGTGAGAAGTTCCCACATTTTCGACCTTGACGATGAAGCCTGCGCATGTCAAGGTTATCTGCGGTCAACATGCTGATGATTTTGCAGTGGATCTCCGAGGTTCTGCACTTCTGCCAGGGTCTCCCTATCATCCTCGTCGGCTGTAAGATGGATCTCCGTCACGACCCCAAGACCATTGAAGAACTCCACAAGACCTCTCAGAAGCCGGTTACCCCTGAGCAGGTAAGTCCATCGGGCGCGCTAATTAGCTGACTTTGAATTGATGCTGATTTTCCCCTAGGGTGAGGAGGTTCGCAAGAAGATCGGTGCCTACAAGTACCTCGAGTGCTCTGCCCGTACTAACGAGGGCGTTCGCGAGGTCTTTGAGGCGGCTACCCGGGCTGCGCTCTTGACCAAGGCCCACAAGAGCAAGAAGAAGTGCACCATCTTGTAAACTAGTTGTTTCCTTCGCAAAAGGTCTGTTTCGTGCGGAGATTATATGAACGGATAAGCGTCTCGAATATTTGGTTTCTATCATTTTACTCCCAAGGGGTCCTCCGTTGGCATGTTCCAATCTGTGCCTGGATGCGAGTGTGGATAATGTTCAATCACGGGCACACGAGCTTTATGGGATTATCTGGCTATGCAGTTGGTCGACTTTCTTGTTTTGCAGACATTATTTTCTTAGGGAGGCGTTGTCTTGTCTTCATAACCTTGTGGGTTTTCTTATCTTTTATTTTCCAGCTCCTCTTAGGCGCCTCCGGGGCGGTTCGCGATCATCCACTATGACAATTGGGCGCCGGGTTGCTGCCAGCAGAAAGAGGCCCTCGCTGCAGCGGGTTATGGAGGTTCAAAGCAGCACAAGTTGATGCACAGCCTTATCCTTTTCACATCGATCCTTTGCATCGATCCCCTCGGAGAAATGGCCTGGTTATCGAGACAGTACGCAAATCTCTACGATAGGCCAGATGTTCTTCACACTTGCCTCGCCTATCAGATCTTCCCCAGCACAGTCTCATCATCATCATCATCATCATCATCATCATCATCATCAGATTTCCCCCACTTTGCTGTGTTCTAATCTGCTGTCCTTGTTTGTTTATTTTCGGTTAAAGAGAATGCATGGAATTGTCATTGGTTTTGAACCCATTTCCCCCATTTTCCCTTGTTTGTTCCTTTATCTTGTCAGTCACGCGATCTTAATAACTATACATGTGTCTTTCGCGGCGGATGTCAAGCCATGAAGAAAGAGAATCTTGAAGCAGAACTCATCCTTATTTCATTGTCTTTTGACCACTGCAGTATTTATCCTTGGCATGCTCTCGGTTGTATGCGCCCAAGGTTTCCTTTCCATGCGAACTAGGCTTCAACAATATCTGTTGGTTGCTGGACCATGAATTCATTGGTAGAAAGAATCCAATCCACGTCGCATTATCGTAACTCATATGTTGATCACATGTACCTATTATCGTACCCTGCAGTGTAGTGAGTATGCGACCCGGTATTGGTATGAGTAAGTCCATGGGTGATGTAGCATATATTGAGACTCTTTATTCCCTCCTTCCGAGTGGGGACATATGAGTGGACCCTGTGGCTCGTAGGTATCTCCTGAACAAAGGACAGTGGACGGGTGACGAGGCGGAGGGAGGAATGCTGATTATGACATTAGTACGAGATCCACCGTCAATAAGATGGATGTTCTTAGGAATCGCAACCGTGGCCAAGCTTGGTTCATGTGCTGAATTACCGAGGAGCATGTCTGCCTGAAGCTATTTATGAAATTCAGTTGCCTGTCTGTTGGTTCTCTATCTATTTAGAGACCACCAAGGTCCGAGGCCCGCGGCATGGAGACGACTTATTTAGCTTATTTAGCTTATTTAGTACATGTGTGTGGAGAGGTATACGTTGTGGATTTGCTGGAGGTAGGCCTACGTAAGAGCAAAAACCCCCTCCCCCCGGTGTCCATCGCCAGATCTACCTATTCAAACTTAATAGATTGCCAATATACCGTCTGGCATCGAGGCCCAGTCCCTCGACGAGCTTTGCTGGGCCTGTATCAGCCCTTGCCGCTTGCAGACCTGGCGATGAGGCGCCTCCGAGATCCCGAAAGAATCTGGAGCCGCTACCGGTGCGGACATGTCCTGATGAAATATGATCGCTTGATCGCCGAATGAGGAAAGCTTCCTGCTGCGTGGCACCTCCATAAGCTCCTTCTCCACCACTACCACCACCACCACCATTGTCACTACTGCCGATGTTGGCTTCGGCTGGTGTGCTCGTGCTCGTCCCGGTAACAGAAGCATCTTCTGGTCCTGGTGGAGATAGGGGACTGTCAGACATCCGCATCCACACAATCCACCAGCCGCGACTGGTCTTGCAGGTTCTTTCGACCTCCAAGGGCCGAGAGCGCGTTTCCGCGTATGTGCTTAGCAGTCGGTGGTGGATGTTGAGGCTCTCAACCCGCGTCCATGGCGGTAGCATCGTGCGATCTTGAGGTTCAATGGTGCTCGGAGATCCCAGTTCCGGGATGTTAGGAATGGAGGAGCGGATTGTCAAGTTGGTAGGATCGTACACGAGATTGTATACCGGCTGGCTGGGGGTTGTGAATCGGTTGTTTACCTCGAACGCGCTGTCGGATACGGAAATTCGCTTCGCTGCAGTAGCGGGTGACGTGGAGTTGCACAGCGATTTGTGGAGGATGCTCATTTGGCTGCGAAGTTCGTGGTAGAAGGATGGCTGGGCTAGAGAGGGGGTGGAAGGATCGTAGAGGAACGTGTATATGAATGGTTGGTGCTACAGAATGGTCAATTTACCGTCCAGGGAGATGTCTGTATAATGCGCGACATACTACGTAGACAACTGTTCGCAACTTCACCGAGCCTAGTATGCATGTCATCAGCCACTCAGTAGTTCCACCTGCTCTCAGAACAAAAGTTGCTTACCAGTTGGAGTTTCGTCCAGAGGAACAGCCTCTTGGAAGGGGACTGTCAATCGGACGTGCAATGTTCTTTGGTCGATTACATGACTCGAATCTGCAGTGAGCGTGTTCAATGGTTCATTGTCTCCCTGAAGTCTGTCCGTGGTGCTGATATTTGACGTATTGTGGAACCCAATGAGGAATCGACCAGTATTCTTGGGCTTCATTTTATCCTCGATATCGGCAGTGTCCCCCTTAGTTAATTCTGCAGAATAAGTAGGGGGGTTCACATGGTGAGTCGGGCTTGAGGAGTCGTCCTCTCGCCTCAATGCTTCGATGCGCGGATGCGGGCTCCCTGTTCTAGATGATGGGCCCCAAGATGAACCATACCCGAGAGTGAGGTATTTCATTAATGTTTCCGAGCTGGGCATCGCCCGGTCATTTGCCCGGTCACTCCGCGTTGACGAGCTCTCACTGCTGCTGGTGATAGAGCTTGTTTTCACACCGGACTCTGCTGGCGGCTGTAGAGCGTCTGAAGTTCCTACCACAAGCGGACGAGGTATGCCGGGAGAAAAGGAACGATCTAAAGTTGCATGATCAACAGGTTTGACAGCAGGTCCAACTTGACGGTCAGTCTCGTTCGCGACCGGATGCCTTCCCCGATGCTTCTTTCGTCTTTTTCGCCGGCGAGGGCAAGCCGGATCTTCGCTCACTGCATACGCGTCAACGCCATATCTATAAATCCATTCCATCCACTGAGAGACTCTCACGACAGAGGGTCTGGAGAGAGCGCCAACCCCCGAGAATATGACTCCATCTGAAGGTTTTGGGGCAACGTCCGCACCAAGCCAGGATTCAGCGTTTTCACTCTTGCCCTTGGAGGTTGACCCTCTATTTTCCGAGACAGACTCCCTCGATGATGTAGAAGAGTCTCCAAATCGCGAGACAATCATATCTACAAGTCCATCCGTCCTAGAAACAAAGTCCTCCAAGACCTCTCTCTCCCCGCTGCCCCATTCTTCCTCGCCAACGCCGACCCCAAGCTCACCTCCAGCAGAGAGCTTGATACCATCATACATGTCAACCACCGGATTCCCACTGAGAAGCATTTCCCAGCTCCAAGCGAATCGCCACCAGAAGCTGTCGAGGAGATCACAGAACTTGGACCTGCCAACATGATCGTAGAGGGCGTCGAGCGTAAACTGGTGGTGTAGAAGGAAGATGGTGTGTGCCCGGCGCATTTGTTGTATCAAGAGCTGTTGGGGGCACATCTCCCTTGAAGAGTATGTGAACTTAGGTGTAGCTGACCCATCATTTTGGGAGAGAGTAGCCGGATCAATTGGCAGTCGAGTCAGCTCAACAGACTAGAGAGATCTCAGCAGCTATCTATGACATATGGCGACATAGGTCACCCACTGCTAAGATCCACCAATCCTGCTCAAGCTCGTGCAAGATAATCTGCGACTTCTCTGTTTCCACATATTCTACGGCCTTGCCCTCTGAGAAGTTCCTGGTATTCCAGATCAGCCCTTGAACCTTTGACTAACCCTTGATAGCGGTTTCACCTACCTGGCAAAGCCTACTATTCCCTGGGCCAACCCTATCTGCCGCAACCTATCATTTAAGTCGCCATTAGGCCCATTATTGATACCCTCTTCAGGGACTGGGCTTTCGCGCTGCTGTGAACGATCTGACCTAGATGTATAGAAGACGATCTGATCCTGTATTGTTTCGTCTGTCGGTCCGAGGCGGGGGTTGTAGATGGTGAGGAAAGAGAGTTGTGCAGGAATCACCGACGCAGAGGCATTATCAGGCATTGCGCCATCGACATGTGAGCTCTGTATCACTGAGAGTACCGAGCAGTAGCGTCGTTGCGGAGCAAGAGATAATCATGGATTGTTTGTTGCTGATCGAAACTCTCTCCTTGGGGGGTGGTGGGAAGGCGGTGACATCACGTGGCGGCGTTCGGCGATCCTCCCGAAGCTACAGCAACGAGATAGTGTGTACATAATACATAGTAGATTGTTCAGGCACCATTGCAGTGGGGAGCATCAAATGCATGCTATGCTGCTTCTCCGGGGCCCAGCGACCCTGTGCGGATTCAGACCCACCCTCTATGCTTTCCCTTCTATGAATCGTCACTTGACGACCAAAGCCTACGACCCTCTCCGCATACTTTTCTGCGGTTCCGATGAATTCAGTATTGCTTCCTTGAAAGCGCTCCATGCCGAACATCTTTCGCGACCGGACCGGATCGCCTCCATTGATGTCGTCTGTAGACCCGGTAAAAGGGTCGGGCGAGGGTTGAAGAAAATCCAGGAAGGTATGTTTGTGCATGAGAAACAGATCGGAATATTTACGGCTGACATGCTTGTGGATCGCAACAGTCCCTATCAAAGCAGCCGCAACAGACTTAGCGCTTCCTATCCATGAAATTGACACTTTCCGGGGATGGACGGTAATTTTTCAAAACTCTTGATAGCTCCAGAACATGTCTGCTAACGCTCTCAGCCTCCTGTCCTGCCAAAAGGGCCCATCAATTTGATTGTCGCTGTCTCGTTCGGGCTGTTTGTGCCTCCTCGGATTATCAAAGGTGCTAAATATGGAGGTCTCAATGTGCACCCCTCTTTACTCCCCGAGTATACATCTCCCAAGATCGTAAGCAGTAAATCCAGCCTTGCTAATGAGAACGTTCAGCTTCCGCGGTCCCGCACCGCTACACCACACACTCCTGCACAATAGAACCAGAACTGGCGTCACATTGCAAACTTTACATCTGAAGCACTTCGACCACGGTATTATTCTAGCGCAGACTCCATTCCCAGGATTCGACATACCGAACCCAGATTCATGCACGGTCCAGGAACTGCTAGATGTCGTTGCCCCCAAGGGCGCGGAAATTCTCGTCGAAGGCATTCAAAAGGGACTTTTCGTCCCCCCTTTACAAGATGTAGGCTGGCGCTCTTCAGCGGACGATGGTACTCTGGTTCATGCTGCAAAGATCATGCCAGAAGACCGGCATATCGACTGGACCAAGTGGACCTTGCCTGAAATCCTGAGAAGGCATCATGTGGTAGGCCCGCTTTGGAGCAAGTCCCTAGTTGCCAACGGCACATCTGGTGGAAAGCCCAGCTTCCAACATCTTCGCGTCATATTCTCTGAGTTTGAAGAAGTAGCTTTGCTGAAAGGCTGCGATAAATTCTCGGTCGTACCCGGCCTTCCGTTTGTGGACAGCGCCCTTCCCATCGAATTGGATAAAGGAAAGGGCGTCTATGTGTTCACTCGGGACCACAAGCTGGTCAGGATTCATCAAATGAAGGTCGAAGGTGGGTTGACTACAGACGCTCTTCGAGCCGCTCGCAAGGCTCGCATGATTGGCGAACGAACATTCTACTCGGGCGACATCGGTTATACACCGTTCTACAATCCTCTACACTGAACGCAATGAGATGAACTCAATATGCCTATACAATCATTGACGTCGCGATACCATCGCGAAATACCCTCTATACCAGCCAATTCAGGCCTTCGTACACCGAGCATTGCAGATGATCATCTCCCACGGTCCCACACTCCACCTCATCGCAAATCCGGCAACTGTAGAATTAGTCCTAATGGAAATATCATCGGCCGGAGGACTTACCGATCTGAACTGCTTGGCCGGTCACAGACATATGCATTGGCAGTAACGTCTAGATCAACCTAGCAGCGGTTTCATTAACAGCAGCAATGCATGGTACATGGAAGACTGTACCGTTCTCTTCAGCACGTCTTTCGCCTTATGTCCCTCAAAAATATTGGCCGTACACTGAATATACCATGGCTGCTGAGCCCTTTCATATTGTGAGCTACTACTCTCAAACCACTGTCTCGAGCCTCTCAGCTGTGTCTTTGTTCAAAAAATGGTTAATAGCAACGTTGCAGCCCTTCGCGGCATACTTTTAGGTTACAAGAGCGCCTGGGCCTCTAATCTTCGTTTGGAAACAGCTGTAAAAGAATTGCCACTCCTTGGAACACACATACCTGGACCCTGCAGTAATCAGGGCATTGCGATTATTCAGGGAATGCATGATGCTTTAGTGGGATCGTAGTGGGTATATTGTTCAAGATTACAACACGAGGCAAGGCTTTGGAGTGAGGGTTTGAGCTTGACAAGAAAATAGCAAGCTGAATAGCATAGCCAAGCGTACCCCCAATCAACAAACCTACGTGAGAAAAAGCAGTAGTTTACGATTCAATTTACTCCGCTGAAGGGCTTTTTAGTCCGCACCGCTCAATCAGAACCTCGGAACCATCGATACCAGGTGAATATGGTTTATCCATTTATGGTATAGTACTGTAGTAGTTGGCCTTGGGTCGATCTCAGTTGATAATATGTGTTGCTTGTCAATCCACCAGCGTGCCGGCATATTCAGTCTGCCTCATTCCTTTCCACGCTCTCTTGCCTGCTAGATCTGGCCACTGAACGAGGAAGCGATCCGCAAAAGGCAGCAGAAGTTTACCTGACAGGCTTAGAGTGGTCACTCGAGCCCATGATTCTACGAAGATCGTGCGAAGTCGGAAATTATTCGACACGGTGACTGACCTAGACCCAAGTACAAACCTAGCACTAAGAGCGTGCCACAGTCGCAGAAGCCTAGCGGCCAGAATGATGCAGACTGCGGTGGCCGGCCCATTGGTGAGGATGATGTCTGGATGGGGTGAGTGCGTCGACTCCGCATGAAGTGGTCCCTGATCTGGATGTAAGCCGCGCAACACCAGAAGACAAGACCAGAAGGAACTGAGAGTAGAGAAGGGTGCAGTCAGGTAAGATTGGTGTACGCGACGGGCGCGCGGAACTGTGACAACAGAGTATGATCCCGTTGCTGGAAGGGGCCGCTCGGATATCGCGGGGTCCGCATTCTGGGTTAAGTATGTTGTTTCGAAGTCGACGGCCTTCTTCGCGCTGAAATTGTCGCCGGAGCTCACGACGTAGGTTCGGTATGTGTACTTGGTTGGATCGAGTTCCATGCGCCGGAGCATGGAGAACATTTCCGCCGTGTGTCCGCCACTCCCCAGGACCACCAAGAGATGAATGGGTCGGTTTCTCGGGCGCCACTTTGGCACTTTGGTGTTGTGCGACTGGATCAACGCGTAGAGAAGGAGCTATAAGTCGACCTCGAGTTAGTTATCGGCTATGATAAGGACGGTGAGGTGCAGCATGGCACTGACGAGGGCTGCAAATATACAAAGTGTACACGTCAGGGCTAGGGCCCAGAGCAGCATTGTCCAAGTTACAACCGAAGACATTATGGGAATTGGCGACTGGTGATCGAATTGAGCGAAGGGAAGAACAGGCTGGCTTTCTGGTTGGCTGCGGACGGTGCGCGGGGATGCGATTCGGAGGTGTGATCGCGAACGAGGAACCTCAAGATCCCTCCGAAGCTATGTTGTGCACACCCTCAAAAGCTTGTCAGATCCCGCCTTGCTTGCATTCTTGAAGCTCAGAAAGCAATGGCGACAAGGACAGCAGGTGAGGTATTCATGATTGTTGCCAGTCTAGCGGCGACCTCGAAACTAACCAAGCACGTGGTCCGTGCCGCCCTCGGCGATTATTTTGCTGTTGTTGTCTTAACTCCTTCTCTCTCGTCCCCCTCGCCTCATTGTCATCTCCCTCTGTCATCATCATCATCACCACCACTACCATTGTCATCCCCACCTTCTAAAACATATCTTCCCCGCCATCAATGTTCCCCTGCTTGACGGGAGATGGCTCCTTTCTTCGCAAAGCGATTGAAGTGTTTCTACTGTGGGTGTCGCTCACCCCAGGCTGACAGAGAGCCCATCCGCAAATGGCGTTGTCAACATTGCGAGGCTATCAATTATTTGGATGAAGTAGGTCACTTGTAGCTTCACGGGGTGCTCATATGCCATGATAGTCTGGGTTTAATATAGCTAACTCACGTCAGAACGGGGAAATCACCGATCCCCCTGCTACTGAAACGAATCCCGCTGTTAACAGCCCTGACGCATCAACTCCGCCCTTCGAGTCCAACGACTTCACAGGCTCCAGTTTATTCTGCGACAAATGTCTCCGCAACCAACACCTCTTCACCAACAATTTGGCGTCCTACTTCCCGCCTTCCGATGACCCGAGCTTCGGCGCATATGAACGCGAGTATCCTAAATTTCGCAAAAACCTAGAGGAGCGGTATCCCCAGGTTTGCGCCACTTGCGAGCCTCGAGTGAAACAGCGCATTCGTCAAACCGGATATGAGGCTAAAGCAGACCATTTGAGACGGATGATGGACCGGAGTAAGGCTGGGAGGATGGCAAGAAAAGCACGTCGGTGGAACTGGAGAAGCCTTCTTGTGTGGGCCGGCGCCATGGGTTACTGGGCTAGTGTTGCCGGTCAACTTAGCTGGAATATCTGGAGTGCGTTAGCCGTTGAGGAAACCGAACCACTGCATGACCCTGACGCCTTATCTACCTCTCCTTATTTGGTCGAGTGCGCACGCGAGATAGTGCAGACCCGTCGGATACCGAGCTGTTGCGCGATGGATTTAGCACCTTATGCCGGGCTAGCTCTCATTGTCGGCATTCTGTCTTTGTGGTGGAACCCCAAGCTACGCTTGAAAGTGGAAGGAAGGGGCGGGCGCTTTGTTGGCCTAGGCGAGTACTATCAGGTACAGCTCATTGTTATGGTGGTGCGATGTGTCTTCTGGGCGGTTCTCCGAGAACCCTCTTCGAGCGGACTGGAGGCTAATGTTCCGCCGACTCTACATTTGTTTATGCTATTCTTCACGATATTGGTATGTATCCTACGAAACCCCATGTCGACCTCGCTAATGAAGGACACCTACCTCTAGTCTGTTGCGATCTCTAGGCGCATTGTGCGCTATGACACCCGTCCGCTGGTCGTCTGGAATGATGACACCCCCGCAGCCACCCCAAGTCGGAAGACCGAAGCTACTCCAGTACCTAATTTTGGTAACAACACTGGAAACAGTCGCCGGCTGTTTACAAGTCCTACTGGCGATCTTCGGCAGCGACCTTCTCGTTTCCCTTTGGACAAGCTTGCTTCTCCACGGACAGCTCCTGAGGAACCAAGCATTCCAACCCCACCCCCAGAGGCTGACGATATGGACTGGACTCCTTCCATTGTCCAGCGCGAACTTACACCCACCATTAGTGTCCGTCAGCGAGACAAGAAATCTGTGCTCAATGGCGAGCTGCCGTCTTATGCCCTCCTGCCCGCTGCGCCTAAGCCACCCGCCTGGAATTTGCGCAGCAAACCCCAAAACGCAAACCCCATCAACCCCATTCAACCAGTGGAACGAAATCCGTTTCAGCGCACCCCTGCACAACCGCCGCAATGGCAGCGGAACACTAGTGATGCAGGCGCGGCGTTTGCACCGCCAAAGTTCTTTCCTGTGAGCGATCATACTGCGACAACTGGACTTGAGAGCTTGTTTGATCGGACCTTCACCATCAAGTCGCCTGAAGATGGAGAAGACAATTACTGGCAAGCACACCAAAACCCAAATGAACACACCCACCATCCTGTGAATCTATGGAGTTATTTTGTCTACCAATACCTCCGGCTAGGTCTTCTCATTGTTTCTCTTGCTGCCTGGACGTTCTCGGAATACGGTCTACTCTCGCTCCCGGGCAATTATGTTGAAATCGCATCGTTGGGCAGTGCCAGTCTTATCGCCGGGTTCGCCCTTTTAGAGGTCATGAAACGTCCTATCATGCAGTGGAATGGCATGGAGATCCTCATCTGCTTTTCCGAGCTGGCTGCTGCTGTTAACCTTGGGGGCTACCTTCCCCGGGGTTCTTTCCAGCGGCAATCTTTTGACACATACGGGAAGTTGCTGTTGGTTTTCATGACCGCCCAAGAGGCACTGAATCTGCTGTCACTGTATCGCCTCGCTGCAGTCCATGGGTCTAGGTCCCAGCAACAACAGCAACAACAACACCGCCGCATCGCGTCTCCAGATGGCCGCGTGCCTGGACCTCAGTCTCCATCGGTATTTAATCACCCTAGCCAGGCCCAGTCGTTTGACAGTCAGCCATCTATGCCACCCCTGTCGTTTTCATCTACTGTTCCTACCTCGAGCTTCTCGGCGCAGTCACCCGCCACGCCCACCCAATTCGCACCTTCGCCATATGACGGCGGATTTTCCAAAAACCACAGTTTCACTCTGAACAGTCTGAAAGACAACGAGTCCGACGTGTCGGACGCGTTTGACCGTGACTCGGACACTGAAACCACTGTAACAACAGCCACATCTGCCACCAACAACACAATTCGAAACATTCGCTATGGACGGAACAACGATTATAACAGTGACTCGCTGTTCTCGCCCCGACGATCAGAGCTGGGTCCAGGGATCGGGGGCCTGAGCTTGGAGGACGAGCCCGGTCGCCGCATAACGCGCAGTCAATCGAAGCTCAAGGATCGTTTCGCCGCGGCGCGAGGAATACGGTAGTATTATTCCCCGATCTTGGGGCATTGGTTGGCTCCATTCGATTTGTTGTCTCATTAAAGCGTTTGCACTTTTTGGAGTTGGTTAGCTGCCTCTTTCCCTTGCTAAATCTACCTTGTGCCACTCTTTGTGAGCCCACGCGATTTACTACAGCAGGTGAGAAAGCTTGCTTGTTCCGAGTCCAATTCGTTCGTTTCACTGTACTTGGGGCTGTTTGGAGATGTATTTTGTACATAGCAAGTAGAATGAACGATTTATGAATGATGGAACGACCGATTGCTCACTATGTCAGGGTGGGTCATAAGCAAGCAATTCCTCCATATTGTCCTAAAGTACAATTGATCATTACTCCTTCAAACTTGAGCCTAGCCTTGTGCCGAACCCAATTCAGAAACCACCTCGAATGTAATCCTTGAACCACAACGCCTCTCTCATGCAATCGCTAATATGACTGTGCTTTATGGTCTATCTTCTATGCGCCATTTTATCAAGTATGAGATTATCTGCATTTAAGACCCACCCCAGTTTATCCGAGACAAACCTCGAGAGCTCCTGGATCGTACGAGGTTCCTCTTCGGTGCCCAGATGGGTTGAGAGAATCCGCATCCATTGGGCTGGCTGAATTTCGTGGAGTTTACGGTCCTTCAGGGCTTCTTGTAAGCGGGCTGCCTGTTCTGCAGCTATGGAGGTGTCCGAGGAGGTAGAGATGTGGCTTTCAACGATGGCGCCATGTTTGAGACGAAGAAAAACGCGAGTCTAGATAGTCGAAGGTCAGCCAAGCTTACTTTCGACAGTTCAGCCGTACATGATGACGGAAGGGTAGCTCACAGACGGCGGCAAGGAGGCCGGCAGAGGAGGCCGGTCGCGCGGGTCCTCCCCTTCTACCGGATGGGTCGAGAAGATGAACCGGGGTGTCTGGCAGTATTTCCACTCAAGGGACTTGATGCCTTATTAGCATACGATACCACGACCCAAGAACAAGGACAAGAGCATTGTCAACGCAACTCACCATCATCTCTTCGATCCCCTTCATGATCTCCGCCTCTCCAGACCCTTGCTCCTCCCCCACAGTCCCGACCACCCAGTCCTCTCCGGCATACAACTCCGACGCTTCCACAACATGGGCCCTCTGCGCCCGGCGCACAGCATCCGAGCATGTTCCATAGAGCCCGGCAAATTCGTCCATGACTCCCGCAATGACGTCCTGGATTTCGAACGAGACCGGTGCATTCGTGAACGCTGAGGACACATTCGCCACGGGCGACCGCACACTATCCACCCCCTTGGACATCATATACTCGCGTGCCGGCGAGCGCAGGAACGAGCCCAGCCGGTCGATGTTGGGCGAATCGAGCAAGCAGGTCCCGTGGTGAAGCGCGCGCTCGCGGGTGAGCTTGAAGGCGGACCCGGAGATCTTGCGCGGTTGCAGCTCAGGCTCCCCTTGCCCGAAGTCCTCGAGTTTCATGACGATGTCGTGGCGGTCGTTGACGCTGGTGGTCGTCGCGCCGATGCGGTGGAGGGCCCGCACCAGCATCTCGGCGTGCTTGTTGCGGGTGAACGTCGCGCGCGGCGAGATGACGCTGTAGTTGAGGTTGCCTTCGTCGTGGAAGACTGCGCCTCCGCCGGAGCGGCGGCGGACGTAGAGGGGAGCCGTGGCATTTTCAGAATGGTCTGGAGAAGACGGACTGGTGGCGGCGGCGGTCCGGTCGTTGTGCAGCACGCGAAGATTGGTTTCGAGCCATGGGTTCTGGTTGCGACCGATCACGACACAGGGGCGATTGATATATAGGAATAGGATATTAGAGTCGGCGGGCGCATGCTGGAGGAGGAAATGCTCGATAGAGAGGTTGACGTAGGGGTCATTGGACAGCGATTGGTAGATCTGGTGTTTGGAAGATGGCCGGCTGGCGAGCTGCGCGAATCGATTACCTGTGTAGGAGGAATTCCACCGTATTGGTACAGTTGCCGTCGTATATTGCCATTGGGAGGATGCAGATGACGAAGGTCGGAACGGGGAGGTGCGCAAAAGGTGGCGCATCGGGCGAGATGCAGCAGGTGAGCACCGCAATGAGATTTATTTATGTTGATCGATCAGGAAGACGGTGATGATGATGATGATTGCTGGTGATGCTCATTGGATTTCCGTGGACCGGGGGGTGCAGGGCGGTGAGAGTGTATCGTACCTGTTACTTACGGTATTGACAGTATAAATCTTGTATTGGGCTTTGGACGAATGGGAAAGGGCGGTAGTCATGCCCTCCCGCGGGCTGCTTCGAGTAAAGAGGCAGCCGATCTCCGGGGGCTATACCCGATGAAGCAAAAGGGCGGCAGAAAACCAAGGCGGGAAGCATAGCAGAGGAAATGCCCCTCCAAAGCCTAAAGGCGATCTCGCGATCGGCCGGCCATGAATCAGTCATTCATTCTTCTTTTGTCTGTCCAGTCCACTCTTCCATTCCACTCCACCGGCCACCCGCCTTGCTCCAGTCTTCTTTTCTCCCACTACGGTCTCACCTTCTTCTCTTTCTTCCTTCTTCCTTGAGGCTGCCAATTCTATCCGTGACCTCTTCCTCTTTCTTCCTGCCCTTACTCCGATTGATCCTCCCACTTGGGAAAAATCTCGACGCCGACATCGCATCGCATCACATCAGCCCACCATGTCGACCTGGGGTGATTACTTCCGCGTCACCACGTAGGTTTTGCTCCTGCTCAATCGCGTCATCTGTGACATTCGCCACAGGCGTAGCAAGGCACGGTCAAACTAATTGCTTTGTCCCCGCAGTTACGGTGAATCGCACTGCCGCTCTGTCGGCTGCATTGTCGATGGCTGCCCTCCCGGAATGGAGCTCACTGAGGATGATATTCAGCCCCAAATGACTCGCAGACGCCCCGGCCAGAGTGCCTTGACAACCCCCCGAAACGAGAAGGACCGCGTCGAGATCCAGTCAGGAACAGAATTCGGTGTCACTCTGGGCACTCCGATTGGCATGATGGTGCGCAACGAGGATCAGAGACCCAAGGATTACGGCGGTAGCACAATGGACCTGTACCCCCGTCCCAGCCATGCCGACTTCACCTACCTGGAAAAATATGGCGTCAAGGCCAGCAGTGGTGGTGGCCGCAGCAGTGCCCGCGAGACGATCGGTGGGTGCAACCCTCCGACCTGCCGGTGAAATGAATGAATGAAACATACTAAGAAGATGATCAGGCCGAGTCGCTGCCGGAGCCATTGCCGAAAAGTACCTTCGCCTATCGCACGGTGTTGAGATCGTCGCCTTTGTCTCCTCCGTCGGCAACGAACACCTGTTCCCCCCTACTCCCGAGCACCCCACCGCCTCCACCCAGCCCGAATTCCTGAACCTGATCAAGACCATCGACCGCAAGACCGTCGACTCCTTCGTGCCCACCCGCTGTCCAGATGCTGATGCCGCCGCCCGCATGACCAAGGTGATTGAGCAGTTCCGCGACAACCACGACAGCATCGGCGGCACCGTCACCTGCGTGATCCGCAACGTGCCCGTCGGCCTGGGCGAGCCCTGTTTCGACAAGCTCGAGGCCAAGATCGCCCACGCGATGCTCAGCATCCCCGCCACCAAGGGCTTCGAGATCGGCTCCGGGTTCGGCGGCTGTGAGGTTCCCGGCTCGATCCACAACGACCCCTTCATTGTCTCCGACGTGGCATCCCAGCTCGGTCCCAACACCTCCACCAAACAGCGGCTCACCACCAAGACCAACAACTCTGGCGGTATCCAGGGCGGTATTTCCAACGGTGCCGACATCTACTTCCGTGTCGCGTTCAAGCCCCCGGCCACCATCGGCCAGGCTCAGAACACTGCCACCTACGCCATGGAGGAGGGTATCCTCGAGGCCAAGGGCCGCCACGACCCCTGCGTCACTCCCCGCGCCGTTCCCATCGTCGAGGCCATGTCCGCCCTGGTCATCATGGACGCCCTCATGGCTCAGTATGCTCGCGAGAGCGCCAAGAGCCTCCTGCCTCCCCTGCCCAACACCATCCCCACCCGTCCTACCCTGAGCGGTTCCAACTAAAAAAAAAATAAAATAAAAAAAAAGCCCTTTTCTCCTCATTGCATCATGAAGATCTAATCGAAGCAATCATCCTCCTTATGTTCTTTTCATGGTTTTTTCTCCATATTTCCGGCAACAGGCTTGGGAAAAGTTGTTTCCTTCATTGATTGGAATGTGGCTTCAACACTACATTCATGTTTTCCTCTATATTTTTTGGCCTATTTGTTTCGAGACACCATTCATGAAAATTAGAGTGCAGCGATATATCATGGTATGACATTTTTGGATGAATTGTTATTCTCCTTCTTTTTCTCTTTCTTTTGGTATATCCCACATCGGCTTATAAGAATACGGGCATGTATCTGGTTATTTAACACACAGCGTTGTTGCTGAACAGTGTTCAACTCAATCCATTGGGCCTTCCTAATCGGTTGAGTCAAGCCTGCGGCGCCGGCTTGCCCCGGATTGGATGTTCCGTTGACGCCGGTGATACTGGTAACGTGTGGATGTTCTCCATCTGGCTGGGATATTCGCAATCTCGAGGGTTTCCACTCATGGCTCATAATATAGTAAGATCATTACATCAGGGGAAAACCTCATTTCCCACCACATGGTTCGTGAACACATACGTACATATATCGTTTAATATCAGCATGGCCAACATCGTATATCCAGCACAAAACACAAACAGAGGTAACAATGGTAACGAAGGGGAATGGACGTTGGTCTGGGCTCGCCAAATTCGTCATTGCCAGGATATAACCACCCAAAAACTCGCAGAGGAAAGATAGCACGAGGCAGACCTTCCTTCCCCTTGGGATTGCGTATACACGGACCCATATACAATACGCCATTTCAAATCTCGCGGACCATGCGAGGGATTCCACCACTCACGGACCTCTCCGAAACGCCATCCAACTCGCCCGCCGTAGCGTTCACGACCCGCAACTTCTCCTTCGGCACCGTGAAGGTCACCTGAACTCGTCGGCCCTCCGCCGCACCCTCGACGTCCCAGTCGTCATCCCCATCATCGGCGCCATCGGCATCAGCATACCGTCGCAGGCCGCCATCGGAATATAATCCGCCCAGCTCGTCACCAATCCCCGTGTCGTCGCGCCACGAGGGGCCAGCGGCGACCGAGCTTCTCTTCCCGGCTCCCCAGTCCCTGGCCCCCTGCTTGCGACGGAAGAGCTCGGCGGAGGCGCTGACGGAGCGGCGCGGGATCCGCGTGTTCCCGTATCCGGGAGCCAACGGGGTTACGTGGGACGGACGGCTGCTACCGTTGCCGACGACGGTGCTTCGGCGGTCGAGGTTGATGTCGATGCCGGAGGCGATGGAGGTGAAAGCCCCGGGGGGTTCGGGGAAGTCTGCCGCCGGTGGTCGACGCCGGGTGAGAGAGAGGACGCGGCGGACGTTGTGGCCGATCCAGTCGGAGGTTCGGGGCCTGCCGACAGTGGGCAAAGCGATGGTTTTGCTGTCGGGCATAGGGAAGAGCTCGAGCGTTTGAGCAAGAGGGGAGGTAGGCTCGTCGAGGCTCTGTGGTGGTTGGTGATGTTGGAGGAGATGTTCGCCTTCGGATTGACGTTGTGACACCGAGGTCTGTGCCGTCGAGTAGGAATCCGAGGTATAGCACTGCTCAACGAAGGAGAGCGCCATGCTGTTCGGCCGGCTGCGGGGGCCATCTCGGCTGCTGTTATTACTGCTGCTGCTGCTGCTGCTGCCGCCACCACTGCTATAGGCGGAAGCTGCTTCGGTGAACTTCAGGGGTATTTGGCGTCCACTTATCGACTGATTGGAGGAGAAGTACGGGAGATTGAGAGCACGGGCTTGGATGATGGACTTCGCGGAAGTGGTTGATGAATCGGACAGATTGGATGAAGTCCGGTCTCCTTTGTCTGGAGAGGCGGGGCCACCGTCTGGATCGATGCCAATCTCAGCAATGAATTCGGGGGGTACAAGGGGGACAGCTGAGTAGGCGCCCAAGGGCGGTAGAAAGGCTGATCCTCTTGGCTGGTCATATGTCTCCTGCGCAATGATCATTCCGGCGTTCTTTGCCTCGTCTTCTTCGCGCTCGTCAATTGGATGGATTTCTCCGGTGGCATCGCTTCTGCGAAACTCGCTGTATTGGGTTGGAGGCCGGTACAATCTCGCTATTGGGCCAGATAGGTTGGACTTGGTGGGACTCAATGCTTCCCCAAGCAGGCCAGTGCTCTCCGCGATCGTCCCTCCTGTCTTATCACGCCAGACAGACGACTGCCCAGATCCGCGCTTACTCTTCCAGTCGGCAATCTCTTCCATCTCCCCGGAAAAGGGTCTGCGTATGCTGCTCGCCATATTTGGCCCCTCGCCACCCCAGAAATGAGCTCTTTCTGCGCCAAGAGCCAAGTTGCGTAATTCCTGATCGCGTGAGCGACGCTTGTAGCGCCTGCGGCTATAGAAGAGAAGGAAGACTGCTAAACAAGTCACAGCGGGGATCCCCAGGCCCAGGCCGACGCCAAGTCCGGTCTTCGTACGCGAATTCGAGGTGCCAGAAGCAGATACGCTAGCTTTTCGCGAGTAAGGGTTTTCATAGGATGATACCCAATTTCCCGACGTGACATTGTACAGAAAAACCTGCGAGTTGTCTAGAGAGCTTCTGGAAGATAGTTTGGAAGATCGATTCGGAATAGTTTGTCCCCCTGCGATCATCATCACTCCCCCAGGGAGCATTGTGGCACCATGCCCATATATTCCCGCCGCTTCATCAGTTCCTGGATTTGTCATCGATGGTATCCTCCAGGTCCATGCTTCGTAGTCCGCTTCAAGCTCCAGGATAGCTAGCTGCGGTTGAGCTGCGGTGCTCGTGTTCCCTACCCAGCCTCCGTAGACGATGACTTTGCTGCCGTCCGGAGACAGAACTGCTGTATGCCCCGATCTTGGCTCCACGAGGCTGACTTCTCGTACAGCAAGTTCTGTTTTGAGCGTGGTTGGTGCAGTCATCACATTCACAAAGCTCCAGCTATTCTGCGGGAGAGAAAAGACGGCAAGCTGCGACATGTTTATGAAGGCGTCCCGGGTTTGGCCTCCAATCAGGAGAAAATCTTGCTGCTTGCGCGGCTCTCCGGTGGAGGAATATGCATAGGACGCCTGCAGAGGTGTGATTGTAAACCCGGCCTCCGCGATAGGAGGGGCTCGACTGCCAGTTGTAGAGGCGTCATAAACCACAGTATCCCCGGAAGTATGAGGATTCAGGACGATCATCGACTGAGAATAGTTTGCCGCGGCCATCCAGGTTTGATTTGTGGTATTCGTGAACGGGCACATGCCGCCGAATGCATAGATGGAACTGTCAGATGTATTGGTGGGCGCATATGCAAAACCCGCCGAAAGAAAATTGGGCCCATGCACAGCGACACTGGACTGAGTTGCGGAGCCACCTATGGCCAGCCGTTCCCAAGTGCCATTGCCCGTGGAATCGGTTGCTTTGGGGGTGAACTGCCACAGCGCACCTTGGTCCAGAGTTTCCCGACAGCCACCTGCGAGTACCTTGATTACGCCAGCGGCGTTGACAGTTGGTACATAAGCTGAACCGTTCCCATGGTGTTGGAAGGGTAATGAACTTGTCAAAGTCGAATAACGCGGTTCCGCGGCGTCGACAACTCCCGATACGTTCAAGGCCAGAAATTCCGTGGTGGCATTCTGGCTAGACCCCGTAGCATGCAAGAGATATGCAAAAGAGCCGTTATGGTCGAGACTGTAGAGTAGCTGCGATGGTTCGTATGGAATCAGCGCAGAGGTCGGATCAGCGCAGAGTAGAACGAGGGCAAGTAGAAGCGTCGACACCACGTGGGCGCCGACAGATCTGCGCATTCCGTGTCTTTGTGGGAAACATTCATCCATGTGTGTGTAGACGAGAGCTGGAGACGAGGTCGAGAGCAAGGCTGGTCTGAGACAGATCGCAATGCATCTAGCGCAACGGTTGGCCCGTTAGCACGATCTGGACAAGGCACGGCTGGAGACCAGATCAGCCGACATGGGCGAGGATCGTCAAACTAGACCGGTCCAATCGCTTTAGATCCAAGCGAGCACTTTAGGATAGGGAGGAAGCGAGGGTCGAAAGGTATGGTGGTGCTAATGGAAGAGGGATGGGGTAAGGGGGAGGGAGGAATGCAGAAGATGGATTTGGGTTTGGTGGCTAGACCAGAAAGAAGAAGAGGAGGAGGAGTGAGTAAGTGACACTGACATGGATCTCATCAGCAGGCAACATCGCAATTGCGGCCGATCGGATCCGACTTTAGATGAAATGAGGAGTCTGTGGCAGGACGAATTGATTGACATAATCGTCATGGTGTACTTAGTGTGCTAAGAACGGTGCTCAGCTCCATAGTAGACAGGCCTATCCGTCTAAGGACCCATCCAGTCCGAAGCGAGAGCCAGGAAATAGTGAGGGGCTGGGAAGAACAATTAATTGCGCCGTCAACACGGGCGGTTGCACTGGCAACCTGGAGGCTACATAGTACTGTACGGGCTACTGTACTTATGGATCCTGGCCATTGTCCGGGTTGTCGAGTGAGGTGAGGCGAGTAGAAGAAGTTGGATAGTTGAATCCAGAATCCCGATTCGACTGATTTGGCGGGAGGGGCAGGCTCCCCCACCCCGGTGAAGCTGGGCAACGGCAACGTCTTGAGTTTAGTTGATTCCGAATGACAGTTCCATCAACGCGAGGGGGACAACAGGTGGGTGCATGATCCATGATGGCATGAGAAAGGAACAAAAAAGAAAAGGTGGAGCCGCGAGTGAAACAGGGCAACAGACCATCTTCTGGGCCGACCTTTGGGTTGGGTTGTTTACACCTTAATTTACGCTTCAGAAGGTCGATTAGCTCATTACTAAACATTCAAGTTTATCTTATTTTCATTGGAGCTCTGCCCGATGAAAGTGGAGATTCGACCAATTAAGTTACAGGTTGACCTGCCAACTGCTTGCTGCTGCTGCTGCTGCTGCTGCTGTCACTGCTGCTACTGTTGCTGCTCCTCGGAATCCCGAGTCCAGACCTACCTAACCTACTTAGTATCAGACTGTAACCTAGCACTTTTAGCTGATAGACTAGTAGCACCACAAATAGGGCTGAGATGATGCTAGTCACTCGTGGGACATGCAAGGAGCATTAACAAAAGAAACCCGATCTCGTGCTCATCATGGCCAGGCGGGGCTCACGGGCACCAACTTACCAAGAGACCCCAGTTTCTCTTAATACGTACCATAAGCTGCCATCCCGCGGGCTTGAATAAACGACCCGCACCTTCGTCATCACACTCATAGTTCCGTCTTGCCACTGTGAGTCGGGGCGTCCCTTTCTTACTCATACTCATGGTCGGGAGAGGCAAATGGGGAGAAAAAAGAGAAGAGTAGGCAGAAGCGCGATCCGGCCACGCGTCGGACTCTTACGGCCCTTGCAGCGCACGGGCTCATATTCGGCTGGATGATCCTGGAGGGGGGAAACAAACCAGGTTACCATTGTCTGCCTATAACACAGCTCTACTCCGTAGTACGGCTTGGCTGGGCTCGGTGACAAGGGTTCAGCCACATCCCGTCCATGATCTGAACAGCACCCTGGGTACTCTTGGGTGAAGGGGGGGAAGAGGGAGGAGGGGCGTAAAGGATTTGACATCCGTTGTTCGGTGAACATTCAGGAATTCAGAGGCCATGCTCCGACGCGGGATTTGGTCTGATCAGTCTGCATTGGGCTACCTCCTTGTCAGAGCTGAGGTGATGCCTCAATTTTCCGATGGGTGGGGATTGAGATGGTGTTCCGTTGGTGCGGTAGCAAACATGTTGAGTACTTTCCGGGAGGATTGAGCGGTGGCGAAGGATCGCGTACGGAGTAGAACGACGCGAATGACAGTACGTCTCATACCGCCTCAAAGCCCCTGTTGGGGTAGATACGGGCACATGGCCCCTGCAGCGGAATAATGGAGCTTTCCCACAGTACCGGCTGGTTGTTCTGGAGTTGATCGCGAGTCATATCTTGAAAACACTTAGCATGCCGTGCCAAAAATGCCTCGGAAATTATCGGTTCAGGTTATGAATCGCCGTATCTTTCATGCCTTTGCGCTTCATGTCGTCATCCTCTAGACCCAGCAGATGTAGCGTTTTATAATGCAGAGGAAATTAGCGCCTGCGGGATGATAAACCTTGGACTCTACCAGAATTGTTCTCTTGGCGGTTTGCGCCGAGTAATCTCTGGTATGACAAGGTGCAGCGATGCCAATAGGTGGTAAGATGTACGCTGTAGGTAGAGGGTACATGCTCGCTCAGGGACGTTGACAGATCGACCACCAGCGCCAATAGCTAGTAGTCGTGGCTGATATAGAGTTGCATTTGCTTGGCGATCCCAAGCCCGACATCCCTTCGCAGCTCCAACCATGTGTAACGAAAAGGATCCGAGGACTGCAGTACTCGTGTCTGAACTCTATATGATTGGGTGTGGTCCGGAACCATGAGCTGCGACAGGAGACCAGTCCGGCAGTATGCAGGGGCATTGAAGTGGATGCCCAGCACGCATTGGGTTGTGCCAGAGTGATATGACATGATGTGACGGTTGACTGGGCGCGGGGCTGTCTCCGGCTGTCAGCTCTGTCGCCTGCATTGTCCTCGCCCTTTGCGGACCGCACCGGGCAAGGGATGGCTTGGGAAGGGGCAAGATTAGTATCTGCAGGGATGATGGCCCGTGGTCCTCTTGGCTTCCGAGGATGGTGGCTGGTTTGCGTGTGATAGGTGGGTTCGAAGGAGGTTGGGAATATGCTCAGGCTGTAGGTCTCCGTGATCGGTAATGGGTTTGTAACGAATTAGTAGTGGGTATCAATATCTTTCAACTTTGACATTCTCAGGGATAGGGAAGCATCTGCTATGTACATACCTAGCAGTCCAGTCCGTACAGTACAGTCAGGACTCAGGAGGGGTAGGACTGCGCTAAAAAGCTTGGTCCAAGGACTGGCAACCAGTGAGGTTCGCTCAAATGCAGTAGTGGGTATGCACGCTCACCAAATAGGAACTATGAGGATGTCGCGTAGGAGTAGGGGAGGGATAACTCTGGTTGGTAGGATCTATCTTGTAGAGTCCGTGGATTACTTCCAGTTGCAGTGCGGAAACCACCCTTTCTTGAGAATAAGCCGGCGAATCCAGTGGTGGAAAGGTTCACGGGTGCAGAGAAAAGCCTTGTGAAGCTGAAGCGAGTGATGCCATACGTTAATCGTCGATACTCGAGCATCAGGTATCAGGGTTTGCATCTCCTAGGTCCTATATACAAGAGACGAACGGTGATGATCAGGAACGATGCGTAGTAAGGTGTACCGAGTCAGAACCAAAAAAAGTAAGACAAAAATAAGTGGCGCTGCCCGGAATCGAACCGGGGCTGGCACGGCCACAACGTGACGTCATACCACTAGACCACAGCACCTGTTATTGTTGGAAATGCATCTCTGTTTGGCTTTATGTACCATAGCACACCGATTCTTAGCTGCACCGAGGTTTTGAGCATCTTTCCGTCGCATTTATAGTCATGCCGATGTTATATTACCTATATTTATGTCTCGGAGAGCCGCTATCTCAGATCGATCCCTTCTTTGCTAATGTTTCCAGGTTGTGGTGCTATAGTTGGGCACGCCTCCAGCTCATCGATGATGGCCGGGACGCATTTCTTAAGTATATATCTCAATCGGGAGACCCGACTAGTTCTCCGGGCTACCAACAGCCTGCGCAACGTGGGATATGCGATCAACAGCCCCCCCCCCTCAGCCATGAACAAAGTGTCGAGCAACAGCTGCCAAGGTGCACCTCAAGATACAGAGAGATACAAGAAACGCATCAATCCCTACCCCAGCAAATAGAAATGGTGCATAGTCCATACATGCATAGTATCACCGGGAGCAGAAGGAGGCGTCAGTGGGTCATATAAATGAACGTCTTACCCAGTACGCCAGATGCACTCGAGCAAGTCTACAACCCTCAGCGGGTTGCCACCTCGAACCGGATCAAAGGAGCTAAGCCCCGGCAGAAGACCATGGCCCACACGCCACAGCAAATAGATGACACCTAAATCGGATTAGATGTACGCATGGCACTTACTGAGTGACAGGAGGTAACAAATGGGCCAACGCACACACACAGAAGGCAAGCAAGGAGGAATGAATTAGCCATACCTGTCCGTAACCGAGAACCGAGAGTCGACAACCACAGCCCGCACACAAGGGGCAATACATAGTCAATCAGCACTCAACACCGACTGTAATCTAATCTTATTAAGAGAGGCCCTTGCTGTCTCAAGCACATACACAATAGGGGTAGCATCGGCATGTAGGACCTCGATGACATTGTAGAGCCGGATGGAATGAGGACAGTGCATGCATGCAGCACGCCTGCGGTGTCTCCCGAGACCCAACCAAATGCACTAGATAGGTTGGCAACAGACAAACCCGAGACAGAACTAAGGTTCAGTCACTTGCTAGAGTCATGCATCCCCGCCTGCTCAAAGAAATCCCCGGTCCACTTCCCTGTGCATTAAACATACATCCAGTGTTGGGTGGGGAGTCTCGCGGATCGAGGGAACGACTGGTGTAGGCCGCGACGGAGCAACGCGCAATTAACACCCCGAGTTATAGATGGGAGGGAGTTGGTTAGCGCAGGCTAGAAATTTGCACGAGGAACAAGGTGTTTGTTTCATCCCATACCATCGATTAACGCACGGAGGACGGGATTCCATGCCACTAAGGCAGCCACCCTTTATGGAGCGAATTAGGCTGCTATGCATGAGCAAACCAAAGCTTTGAGGGCCCGGCTGGTCACTGCCTGTAGGTTTCTACCGCAGGTACAGTGCAATGCTGACACTTTCTGAGGATGGACCAGTATCCCGAGTTGGAAACACTAGACGTGACACCCGGTGGGCTGGCCGTGCTTCCAGTGATGGTTAAATTCCCACCAATTCGAACCAACAACTGGAAGGAACCACATAGTAGTATATGCTATGTACTTGGTACTTGTATCTACCACCGAAGATTGAAAGGAAAATGATCAATCGGCATGCATGCCCCCCCGAGGAACCTGACATCAGATTGGCTATCTTGAAGTTGATAGACTCAGAAACGACAGGTCCCTCGGCAGCCCTAGGTTCAATGAAGGTATATAGGTATTGTAGTTACTCGACCATGCGGGAGGAGTAGAATGGATAAGCGAGGGAGAGGAAAAATACCAGACATCATTTCGTTCTCCATCCACCA